CTCGACTACCAGGCGTAACGCACTAGATGCCTCAGCGAGATTTAATACGGCTTTATGAAAACCATCATGAAAACTCTTAATTGCCGGAGAAGAGTCTGAGAAATTATGCGTCTTATATTATAGAAGCTCGGATTTTGCTGAAGTCGTTTAGGCGTTCTTTTGCTAATGTATAGAGTAAAATTAAAATATATTGCGTTAAAAAATGCAGATATTTACAATTATATCATATTCAAATTTAATTCCTTTGCGTTTAGTATGTACATCTATGTTAAAAATTACGTATATACATGCGTTAAATACACAAGTTTTATACTTTATTTAAAAAATGCACAATATACTATCTTAATTAACAATTATATTTTATCAAAAAATTTAATAGTGAAAAGATTAGAGCTTAATAATTTACTTTGTTATTTGATCTAAATAACAAAATTATTTAGTTGCTTTGGATTCAATTGGAATTTTTGAAACAATTTGAATTTGATAATTTAATAATTTCCTGAAATACGATTAGAAACATCCCGTATAATCGCGAATTTATATATGTATATATGTTTAAGTATCGCCGAAAATTTAATAGTGGAGGGATGCGGGAGGTCGAATGACGGTATATCCTTAAGGCGCATGCCTCATCCAAAATCCTAGTCAGAATTAATATCTTCGCCGAGTTCTGTCCCTTGCTCAAGTATTTTCGGGTGCAATTTCTTGCTAAGCTTCAGAAAGGTTGAAGAGACGATTGTTAAACTTTAAAGCATCTACTTTGCGGATAAGAATGGTGATATAGAGCGCGGTTGATGTTTATGATTTAAATATACCTGGCGTTAAATTTATTTGACCGCGTAATTCTTATTAAGGACTCTCTCGGCAACAACTTTGACTTCGTCGGCTTTGTTTAAACGCTTTTGTTCAATCTCTTCGCGTTAATTTCGAATGCAAAACACGACCCAAGATACTCTCACGTTAATCTTGATGTATATTAAATTTGATTTAACTGCAAAAATTTAAGTTATAAAATTTAATATTTCGGTAATAAAATATAGAACAATAAATAATTTTAAAACAATCGATATTTCTTTCAATTTAACATGAGAGAAGAGAAAGAGAAAAAAACTCGAATTTTTTACTACTATTGTAATTACAAACTATTATCTTTATACCATGCTCTGAGTAAAAAGTAAAAAACAAGTTTGTATAGATGAAATCTATTTAAACGTATCAATGATAATTTTATCACTAAATTTTTTCATTATCTCGGAAAAGATTTTTTCATCTTTTTCTTCTTTTCCTCGCGCGTATTAAACGAAGATAGTTCGCCAAGTATAAAACCAATCATTCGGGCTATTGAAATCCAATGAGTACAGAGGTTGAAAAGGTCTGGAAAGGAGATCGCCCGATTCGGTAAAGAGACGCGAATAAATGAGACGCTTCGATAGTGTATCAATGAATGAAGGATCGGAGCAAACGAGAAAGAGACCGAAGGAGACGAAGGTGGCCGAAGTCAGGGGGTACGGCGGAAAATAGAGATGAATGAAAATAAATAAAGAAGGGAGTAAAAAAAGGCAGGAAAGAGGACGCCGGGGGAATCAGCTAGCGAGAGTGGCGGATTTGAATATTGATTCGTTTTATTTAAATTCTGTGCGCCTTATCGCCGACCGGATATCTTCCGCTGAAATTGGACGCGATAACGAAAAGCGAAACGGCACCGGATCGAGCGAATAGGCTGGATTGGCGCGGGTACCTCGCGCGCTCGTCGGGAAAGGGGGCTATTTCGGGGGACGCGAGCGGAGAGAGAACGGCGAGAGCCGTAGGACAGAGGAGAAATGCAAAGGGAAGCGAATGGAATTTATAAAACGATTTTTCTTCCTTCCTAAGCGCACTCGCGCACACTCGATCGCCCTCCCTGCAGCCTTTCACGGCGCTCCCGAAATCGACACGAGAGACGACGCGAGATATTCTCGCGGGAACTGCTCCGAAATGTATTCGCACATTTCGTCGAATTCTGACGAAAGCAAAGGTGCAATGTCACCGAGAGGGAGAACATCTTTAAGAAGTTGTTCTTTTTACTGCCTTTAATGTATTTCATATTTACGATATATTTTCCCAACGAATGTAAGTCTCTCTTGAAAGCCAAACTGAGCTGAGCTTCGTGAAATAAAAAAAAAATGAAAATAATAAAGTTGCGAACTAATAATGCTGTGGTCCTAAAATTAAAAAATTTGCAAAAAGCGGAATTAATCAGTTTGGCTTTCGAAAGATTCATATATATCTCGTTTGCAAGAATTTAAATAAAACTGTATTATTTTAATTTAACCGTGCGCGCAGATTTTTTTGCGAAATTGGTAACAAAAATACGCATGAGAAGGATTGTTTAATCATTTTCAAATTTAACACACTCGATCGCCTTCCCTACAGCCTTTCACGGCGCTCTCGAAATCGACACGAGAGACGAGTGCGAAATGTATTCGCGCATTCGTCGAATCCTGACGAAAGCAAAGGTGCAATGCCACCGAGAGGGAGAACATCTTTAAGAAGTTATACAACTGTCTTTACTGTATTTCATATTTACGATATATTTTCCCAACGAATGTAAGTCTCTCTTGAAAGCCAAACTGAGCTGAGCTTCGTGAAATAAAAAAAAATGAAAATAATAAAGTTGCGAACTAATAATGCTGTGGTCCTAAAATTAAAAAATTTGCAAAAAGCGGAATTAATCAGTTTGGCTTTCGAAAGATTCATATATATCTCGTTTGTGAGAATTTAAGTAAAACTGTATTATTTTAATTTAACCGCGCGCACAGATTTTTTTGCGAAATTGGTGACGCAAAAATACGCATTAAAAGGATTGTTTAATCATTTTCAAAATTTGATACATACGGATGTGAAAGAAAGCGATATTATAAGACTCACCGATAACAGGATGAAAAGATATCCATATCTGCAAAAAATAAAAGTATTTATAAAGTATTTATTGGAAGGATTGTTTAATCATTTTCAAAATTAAATTTGATACATACGGATGTGAAAGAAGATGATGTTATAAGACTCACTGATATCAGCTGGATGAAAAGAACTGATATCCATATCTGCAAAAAATAAATGTATTTGTAAAAATCAAATTTATGACACAAATTCACATCTCGATAGCATCATGAGTAATTTAAAAATCATAATTTATTATTTTTTCTCACTTTTACTGAATAGAAGATGTCTTATTTAATTAATTAATAAAATATAATAATTAATATTATTTTATAATAATTAATACAAATATAATAATTAAAAAATAAATAATACAAAAGGACTTTTTAAATCTTCCTCAATTAAAATGCAACAATGTAATTAGAATCGATAAAAATGCAAGAGTAATAAAAAATGTATTTATTAACAAATTTACCGTTCTTCGCTCCTTGGCATTGAGCGTAACACGGACGTGAATCAATCGAAAAAAAAAAAACACACGCGAGATTCGTTCGTTCAAACGTTGCATTTTGTCGTACTCGACAATAACTGACGACGTGGTATGATTTGGACAAACGCGACGCGATAAACGCTGAACTACATCGAAAGTAAAGTATATTTAAAATATTCGCACGTCATTTTTTTCGGCACTTTTTCTCGAAACTCGCTCGGTCGCTGCTCGACGCTGCAAATGAATGAGACGACAGCAATAATATGGCGTCGCGTCGTTTCGACAAAGACCGGACAGACACTAGTTGCATGCATCGAAAGCGAGATTAATACAAATACACGTTTAAACGCAACTTGTCTACTTGCGATCGCACGACACAATGTAGTTCCGGTATACCCGATACCCGTTCGCGATTGCGAAATTCACCTTCGACGAGCGAAAAATGCGGAGCAATCTCGGAGCTCGACTCCGAACGACGCCGCACGACGCGATATGACTGAAGATAGACTCGCATAATCGTTCCGCTAGCCGCGCCGTATTATAGCGTGTTCACATGCATATGCGATTGCACCGAAAAACCGCGATTGCATGTTAAAAATGCAAACATCCGATCGAATCGTATAACGTTGACGCGGGTGCGAAGTCTATATGTACTCGAGGAAAAAAAAAGCGTAAACATAGCGTGACGTAATTCGACGTTACGGTGCGCCCAATTTCGCAATCACTTTCGCATTCGTTCGGACTACGGAGTTGAATTGGACAAGATTGTTAGGCAAGTTAAATACGCAGGGACTAACGCCCTCTTTGGCCATCGAGTAGAAGCGTTAACTCAATTAGAAGAGGGACGCTCTCCTTCTATAGTAAATTCGCACTTATTATAGTTATTATTATTACGTTATTCTGTCGCGTTACCAAAATGATTCTAGAATAAAAAATGTTAATCCATTAAAAAATTTAATTTATTTTTGTTTACCGAAAACTGATGTGTAATTACTAATTGTTGGAGTATATAATTATTAAGAAAATATATCCAATTTATTAGTGTCGGTCCATAATAAGGATTTTAAGCCCTAAACAGTAAGAAATAGACCAATCATATCATTGAATATGAGAAAAATAATTTATTGTAATTGGTTAATATCTTACGGTGTAAGACTTAAAAGCCTTATTGTGGACCAACACTTACGCGTTGTTCCGAATACTCTTCCGGCACAAATTACGTATGTATATATACTTATGTATATATACTTATAGACGCACAAAAGAAAGCGATAACGTAAATATCAATTATTTATTGTCGATCGGTAAGTACAGGAAACAGTAATAAGGTCGCCCAAAGACCACGAGTGCGTCCGATAATAGCGTCATTAATAGCGTTTTCGGAACGGTTTTTATCGCTCTGAGAGCAATTAATAACGTCACAAGCTCTTCTCGTCCAATCAAAAATCTAAAATAGAGCGTGTGACGTCATTAATCGCTCTCGGAGCGATCGAACCCACTCCGTCCAAAAACACTATAAAATGCGTCGTTCGTGGCGCAAAATATTATGTGTTAGGTACTTATGTTACCTAGACGCGACGGAGGTAAAGTGATAGCGCGAGCGTTAAGTTGGCTATACGGGACGCCGAATTTCGCGGCTACCTTCATACCGACGCGCCGTCTCTCCACGTCACGTAGCGGTTGTTCGGCGCAGTGATCGAAACTTCATTTTTCGCATCCTTTACTCGCCAATGGTGAATCTCTCGCGTGCGAACGACGAGTACCGAAAGCGTCGAAGTCAGCAGCGTGTAGTCGTTAGAGCGTGTATAATCGTAAGATCGTCGTCTCTCGGTAATGTGCAACCGGTATTCGCAGCGTCGCGTCGAGTCGGATCGTCGTCTATCGAAATGGCGTCGTAATTGTTGACTCGTCGAGCAGTTTGTAAGATCTCGTCGGACGATCTCCAGCAACGTATTAATTATTGCCGTGTAATTACCGTCCGCTTACGGTATTCGAGTCGATCGGTGAATACGCGCGTGCCTTGTTCATCAGTATCGCGTCATTTTTCTGAGTCTCGTTGCATTGAAAGGAGTGTCGGGAGTGCCGAATATGTGATCGAGCGTTCTTCATAGCGTGCGTTATTCGCACGAATCGGGAGTGTCGGGACATCGGGAGTGTCGCGACATCGGGAGTGTCGGGACATCGGGAGTGCCGGATACGAGGTAACGGAAAGGAATAATCCCCGGATCTGTAATCAGCCGCCGCATTACGATCGGACAGCAGTAAGACGAAAAGGGACGACAACGTACTCCGGTGAGTAAATTTATTTATTTATTCTATATTGATGATAATTATCACTGTGTATGAAAATAATTATTAATATAATAATTTAATATTTGAGTATTTTTCTTCTCTTTTATTTATTTACAGATTTGTTTAAGATAAGAAAAAAAACTACCCACAAGATTCAAACATGAAAATTTTAATTTATTTAGAAATTAACACAAACCGAAACTCTGTGTATGTTGGCAATAATATATCTTTACATATGTTTACATTTCTTTTTTTAGATTCCTGTCAAATGTTCTACTGGACTGCAGCTCCATTCGTTTCCATGTGGTGGTGAGTCTTTTACTTCATATTTTTTATTGATTTGATATTTGATTTGCTATTTCACCTAATACTCCAATCACTAAGAAGAAGTTCGCGTGTATGCCATAATTAATTTATTGCTAATTTATTATTCTAGTTGCCAATTTATTGCTCCTATATTCCATTCGCAGGAAATTAATACCAAAAGTGGAGATGTTGACTTCATATCATATTTATACTGTACCTCCATTCTTGAAAAACATGTAACGAGTTTTCTATAAAGAAAAGTTACTGTATTTGCAGTACCGTTAACTTTGCAGTACTGTAAAGAAAAAATAGATAAACCAAAATTTTTTGATATTTCTGGTTCCAAAATATTGCAAAAAAAAGTCAAAAATTTTGAATAATTGTATCTTATTCTTGTAATTATTATTAGGTAGCACTGTCACACTCCTGATGAATTTTTTTTATCTTAAACAAAGAGCAATAAATTTTGGACCAGGATATTTTAAGAGCAAATAAGCTCTTGGTACTAGCCAGCACATTAGCACTTAATTATGGCATAGACAAATTTTTTTTTAGTGATGGGGATGCTAGGCTCACAGAGATTATTTCATCAAACTAATATTGCGAGATAAAAACCAGTATATATACATATATATATGTATATGCTGGTGAAATACACCTCAATATAGAGTAATATGACATAATATGTTATTTTATATTTAAAGTTATCTTTGTACACGAATACAATACCGATCTCTAAAAGCTAATCTTATCGGCGACGATTTTAAAGCATATACCAACTCGCGAATAAAAAAAATATACTCCAAGCTTACCACGTTGCGCGGAAAATCTAAGGTTCTCGATGTATCGGTGGCTGTAGCCTTTTTCTCGTGGCTCTCAGCAGCATTTCCAGCGAAACAAAAGCCATTGTTTAACGCAAGTGTGCCCGTCTACGTACGTATTCGCGGATTTACATGGCACCGCTTACTTTTCCTTCCCCCGGCACACACGTGGGGGATAAAGTGCCCGGTCGCAAGGAAATCCACGTTGTCCCCGGGATAAGTCCCTGAACCGGCGCCGCGTATCCCGACGGGATGACCGTAGTCCGGCCTCCGTTCTCGCCGTCGAGCCGCACGTCGGCCGATCGGAATATCGGAATACGCGTTTGCAAAGGAATCGGCGAATTACGCTAAAACGCGGCGTAGCGCACATCGAGATTCGTCCAGTACCGCTCCCGATAGATTTTCCTTTGAGTCCATTAAAGTATCACGCCGCTCGGTTTACGGCCGTCCACTCTGTCAGAGACTCCCCGCGGGGGACATTTCGACCGGGGAAGATCGATCGATCTCGAAATCGAGGGGTTCCCTCGCGAGTGGTCTTAGCTTCCCTCAGGTTTGTTGCCAAAATATTGGCGATTCTCCATGATTGACCGGCCGTGAATCTCCGTGGCTTCATGTCGTGATCGCCCACGTCGCGGTTTGCATGTATCGTTGCACTGATGAACAAATTAAAATGCAGTCTATCTTCGATCGATATCAGTAGAATAGATACAGTGTCATTATTTATGAGATCGCACTCGACCAAATTTGTCGACGTTTTATGAAGACAGAATTTCATGAAAATACTTCCTATTTTATTGCAGCAGATAAACTATTAAAGAACTATTTTCTTCTTTCTTTATCTATATACATTGAAATTTATTGCAATTATACAGTATAAGCTTAACAGAAATCGTATAGCAATCATTCGATTTCCTTACAAGTTGTGTAAGTAATTCGCTGCTAGCATGCATTCATAAAAAAAAAACAAGATCAACATCATTATACAACATGTATATCCTATCAATTAGTATTATATCAGGCATATTACGAACGTCGGTCTTATAATCAATGAATGATTGGCAATAAATCACGGAGAGCGATCGCGCAAGCAAGAAAACACGCGCAGCGTTAAATGCGATCGGCTAAGCTACGCGCGGCACGTAAAGGGTCCAAAAAGGGTGTCGGTCCTCGCGTCGGATGATCGATAGGACTAATAACGACGTTTCTTCCCTCTCCCCTTCCCCCCTCCTCTCTCTTCTCGACCGCCGTTGTGCCGGCCGAGAGCGGAGCTGCCGCGTGGAGCAGCGACCGATAAAACACCACCGAAGACGGAATATTTTAACCCTCGGATTAATAGGCCTGTAAACGACGCAATGATTTTCATTAATATTCATGGGCCGCCGATGCGAAACTCATGCATGATTTATGGTCTTTAATTTTCGCACGGCGACACGCGCACGTTCCGAATTTACTGCGGAACATTGCCCCGTCGGTTGTTGACGTTGAGTCTTTGGGGTTCCTTAATGATCGTGCAAACACGCGCGAAAGAGAAGTCTACGACGTTGTGAAACGTGATCGCTATCTTGTCGAATATATCTTCTCTAGCCAAGTCACTTAAACGTTTAACATTTACATTAGCGAGGAAACATTGTATGCGAATGCATTTATCTACTTTCTATTAAGCTAAATTCACCTCTACGTCGCTCAATTGACGATGCAGTAAGTTGCGTGTCAAGCACAATTCGAACCTCTGTGTCTCGACAAAATTTCCTGAAGCCACGGAGCAAGCCTGAAATTCTAGCTTTCGTATACAATTGAGTCCACAGATCCGTGGCTTTACGTCGCCCTGTACGGTTTAAGTCACGACGGCGCGGCGGTTAGGTCCGCGGGTTGTTTTAAGATAGATACGATAGAACCCGAGCCCGATGACAGGGAACATCGTGTTGTTCCAATCCTTTCTTGACACCAGGTGTAGAAATCCCTCCCGACGACATTGCCCAAACATCTCGAGAAGGTCCTAGCGAAAAGGAAAACTACTTAGCGACCATTGTCGGCACCTTTGCGCCCGCGTTGTTTTTCCAAAGGAGCCGCGCGGCTCTTCTCTGAAGATCACGTGTAATTTGATCTCTCGAAATGCGGAAAATTGATACGCCGTAAAGTTTCTTCTTTATGAATTTGCAGTCGTTTTTACTTATTAGAAAAACAAGCCAGCATGTTTAAGATACTTTCAATTTTTTAAATTACGCGAATCGCCATTTTTTTCAAAATTAATTTCAAAATAATTTAATCTACTCAGAAGTACTTCTTATAATCGTGCAGATATTTTTGTGCAGGCGTGAAAATAAGACACCTGCTGTAGTAATTATACTTCCTTCGTGTCGAACGCGAAACGGACTCCGCGTATTGGGAGGTTTAAGAATATTCAAGATATGAATTTAACATTGTAATGTCTTTACGTGATGCGACGGGTGGCGAAAGACGTCGAGGTGGCTGAGGAACACGGGGGCGGCAGCGGCGGCGGCGGCGGCGGCTGTGGCATATAAGGGGAGGTAGGGAGGCAGCGGGCGGGATCGGGAATTCAAATACCACCGCCATTAAACTGAATAACGAGGAGAGCGGCCGTTCGAAATATGAACATGGCTATGATTTGCGGCCTCGTAAACCCGTTCATAACGAATAATAATGTCACCGCGCGCGGCGGTCGCCCGCCAAGTACGACGGCGCGGCGCGAGGCGAGGCGGAGGCGGTGGTGCGCCAGCGGGACCCGGGGCGGCAGGACGCGGGGTACCAGGGGCGTGTTCTCGCCTGGAAATCCACCTACAATATCGCCCAAGACTTTTTTCATGTCTCATAACGCCTTGCCAGCTGAAATTAAATAATAAAATATACGCGTCGCACAACGCCGGCCGCGCTAACGTCGTTAACTTCTACGCCCCTTTTTCGCGCATTCGGCGCGTATCCGTTTCTTTCTACGTCTCTCTCTCTCTCTCTTTCGACGACTGGCTGTCTGGCTCCGGTTGGCTATCTCGCAATTTCCATTATTATTCTGAGATTTTATTAGATGATACGATCGTTACAGAGATATACGGCGCAAAGCTCTGCGGAATCTGCCTCCGAAAAATATTAAGTAGATGCGAATGGGGAATCTTTGTCGTTCATTCTTGATATTTTTATCAAGAGAGAAAATTATGCTATAAGAACGTCGACTTTGGAAATTTCGCAAGTGGAAAAGAAAATGAAGAGAATGGAAAAGAGATATATTGATATGTATGTCACGAAACTTAAAAATCCGAAGATAAGTCATTATTTCTAATTACATTAAGGTATCTCAAAAGTCTTAATGATACACAGGGACAAATTAAGAAAAGCATTTTTTTTTATATAATGCGTTAATCGCTTTACGTAATATGATACGTAAACGTACTTTGTACCTGCTCTTTATCCGTTTGTGCCTCTTTCATTATCCACCACACTTCGATAAGTAAATCAGGTGCGAGAATTCCGCAGCCGGTATTAACGAAACAATTAGCGCCGTGGCGTGTTCTTTTTTCTTTTTTTCTCCGAGACGCCAGAGAGCCATATCCTTTTTAGCGCGGCACCGCGCCGGTTCGGCCGACGTTCGTCCAATTACGAAAACATATTTGTTCTTCTGGCAGAATGAAAATGGCGTTAAGTAATCCCGGTCTGGTCAGCGATCGCGATAACGCGACGGTAACGAGGCGGTAGCAGGGCTTACCGAGTTATTCCGTTTATGGACTACCGGCTCTCTTGCCTCAGTTGCCGTCCCCCTCGTTGTAAGAGCCGGACCATCGAGTTTGGTATATACACCTAATAATGAAGATGTTGTTTTAATTGCCCGCTCGCGTGAGCATCCCACTAATTAACGCACTCGCCACCGGATCGCTATATAGTCAGCTCGACGCGACTTTCCTCCTCCGGAGTATCCGTAACGAGAGATGATTACACACACGCTTGATTAGATCATTTAAAATCCATTTAATACTGATTGCGTGCTCTCGATATTTCGCGTATTAGACCCTTTCGGTCAATTATAGATCCGGATCTGAAATTAATTCTGTAACTCGTGTTATGTTTCAATTAAGGTTTTTCGAAAAATGCAGTCTTTTTAAAATTCTTTGTTGGAAGTTATTTGTTCCAATTTTCATCTCGAAACTGGATTACATAAATGCGTAAATGCAGTGT